TGTGTGGGGGGGGGGGGGGGGTACTGCAAGGGGTTCAGATTTAAAAATATAATGTACTCTTGACTACCAACTACTTTTTTTTAATTACTTAGGGACTTATTTATAGACTGAAATTGCTATTTTGCAGGTTTCTTCATGGCAACTCTTTCCGTTCGCTTTGCCCTTTTTATAAAGAAGCTGCTTTGTAATTTTCCTGTCCTTTTTTGTTATTTAACCAGCTGAAGAGTACTCTATTAATAAAGATAATGGTATCATTGTATAACACCCCCTTAAACCAAGTGCAATATGTTATTTTTACGATAAGGAAGGACATTTCCTCAAAGTGTAGTGTAAGAAGCTCCCTGGTGATCCTGCCAGAAATCCAGTGAGCTCCTAACTTCATATTGCTGGCTGACAACATTGCCTCTCCTGCACAGAAATAAGCACTGTACAGTAGTATTGTCAGCCATGTCTGAGTTCTCTGCCAGACTAATAGCCCTTCTCTGTCACTCTCCTTAAGCATACCTTGATTTCTTTTGCAGTAGTAAATGCTGCTGTCTTGACTCTCAAGAGTTTACCCACAAACTATATATTAGAAAAGGGCTCTTAAGGAAACAAAGTTTCACAATAGACTGAACATATTTCCTAATAATCATAATATTAATCCTTGATTCACATACATCTTAGCCCTTTAAAGGTCTCTTATGATTGGTTTATTAAACACTGATGTAGACCTAGGACAAGGAACCGGTATCATCTCTAAAACATGTGATACTACAAGTCCTTGCATGCACTGTAAACCAAAGAAGTATAGGGTCAGACAGGGAGCTGGCAAGACATGCTATGACTGATAAGTCCACATCAGCTGGAAATCCACCAATTTCTTATCAGTAGTGTAGACAATGGGGCTGATTTACGTTGCCTTTAAAGGTCAACATTGGAAAGAACACAAATCCTTTCAATAAAATGCTTGGGTTATATAAGATACCTTAAAACTGCACAAGCTTCTGCAAAACAGTATGTACGGTGAAAGGTTCCCCTTACAATGCAAACCAGGCCCTTATCCAGGCCTATATCCTGTGTGACCAGGAAATGGAGAGTAGCATGTGTGCAGCCCCCCTTCCTGTACCATATCAGGCCACATTCTTGTCAACATTGGGAGGGTACCTTGCAAGAAATCCCCACATTTTGTTCCCCAAAAGGCATGTGGATATTAGGGGTAGGGGAAGGTTCAGGGTACATTTTTACCCCTTACTACTCATTTCCAGAAATAGTTAAATGTAAATAAATGCACAGACCCCTTGACAAAGTCCTTTGATTGAAATAAAACAAACACAAAAACAAAACTTTATTAATGTTGCTCGCTGTAATCCAGCATCAATCACATCGTCCAGCCATGTAATCCATGTCAATTACGACAGTCCCAGTCACATGACTGACGATCTGTCCACCAAGCACTGATTGTGCTATACAGTATACTGCCAATGAAAGAGAAGTCATGGAAGTGCATATGTAAAAACCAGTCCTTCTGAAAATGTTTCCCAAAAACAGCGTGCAGGAGCCACAACTCTACTAACAAACTTTGAGAGTGCCATTCCCAAGCATTGGAACTTATTCACACACACCATCGGTCCTGGCATGATATTTAGAAACATTGGTCTCACGCTATCATCGCTTACATATTACAATTAGCCTGCATCTTGCAACTGGCGGTTCTGCACGTCCGCACTCTCTCACTGCACCGGCAATTGTTTTTCAAACATGATGGTAATTTGCCACTTCCACAGTAAATCAATTCCACTGAGAATATCATATATAAATAGCTGCACTTCTATATGTATTTGGTTTGGTGTAGCATTCATTTAAACTAATAATATTGCAATATTTGTGATTGGTTTATACTGTTCTATGCTGTATAGAGCTCACAATATTTTTGTTGAATAACCTCAGCCTTGTAGAACACCTGGGCCCCTAGATTGTGGGAATTCTACTTAGAGATTAATAAAGGTTCATTTCATCCTGATAATGCTGATGCCAAAATTGGGTGGGATATTGCTGACTGTATGTGATGAGACATATAAATGTGAACAGCTACAGTAACCTATTGCAACATGCATCCCTCAAACTCTAACCCTTCAGCACTATTTCAGCCACGACTATCTGTATAACAGAATGGAAAAAGGAATGCACACAAGCGCTCTTACTAGAAGACTAAGTAAGCAGCAATGTGCTGAATGGCCAACAGGTGAGGTGAGAACATCATTTCTGCCACCCCTAGGAAGCTGCTGCCTGACTAAATATTGTCACCTAACCTCTTGGTAGCAATGCTTATATTGTCACCTTTAGATGAATCTATGTCACCGCATGGGTGATTTTCTGACCCGGAAAAATAAGCCCTGTTGTTGAAGCAGGATTTATTGTCGGAGACATTAAGACAAGTATTAATCCAGATGGGTAGATATGGAGATGGCCTTAATGCATCCAATCTATTTTAGTGCACTAGTCTTGGAGTATCTATCCTTGACCACACGTCTCCTTTCCCCAGAGATTTCAATTCCCCGAAAGAATGCATGTTCTCTTAGTAAAGCTGGCCATGCACCTATAGATTATCTGAAGATTTTCTATGATGAGATGGAAAAAGTGCAACAGATTCCTCCAGCTACACTAAACTGTGTGGATGGGGGAATCTCTCAGTGGGCCAAGCTTCAGTATCTTGCTAGTCAGCCCCGCTGGCTGCACTTACCCTCCAGGTGCCCAGAGAATGCAGCAAATACAGTATATACAACCATCAAAATGTATACAATTTTCTAAAAATTGCATTACATCCCAAAAAGATTAGTGTCATCTTTTCAGGTTCAATACTATTTGCTTGAGGTGGTGTAGGCAATTGGGTTCAGTGAGCCATATACTGTATCTTGGTTCTGCTTCAGGATACAGGACTTTTGAAAGAAATGTAAGGGTTTTATTTATTCTTCAGTGTCTTAGAATTATTCATGGATCCATGTTATTTTCTTCCCAAACCAGGCTCCAGCCTGCAGAACGCAATTGTGCACATGCTAACTATATATTTCCTTCTGCCAGGTTTTCTATCTCAGCTAGATGCGAAGATCCCTCTTACGTGGAACCACACTTTTCCACTACACTTTGCCAATATACAGGTGAAACTCGAATAATTAGAATATCGTGCAAAAGTAATTGCAGTAAGTGCTGCAAAAGGGGCCCAAACCAAGTACTGAGTACATATGCATGCTTGTACTTTTCAGAGGTCCGATATTGTTCTATGTACAATCCTTGTTTTATTGATTGCATGTAATAATCTACTTTTTTGAGGTTGTGGATTTGGGATTCTTGGGGTTTTCATGAGCTGTAAGCCATAATCATCACAATTATGACAAATCACGGCTTGAACTATCTTGCTTTGCATGTAATGAGTCTATCTCATATATTAGTTTCACCTTTTAAGTTGCATTAGTGAAATAAATGAACTTTGCACGATATTCTAATTATTCGAGTTTCACCTGTATCTTGGTTTAAGCAGAGCTCTTTGCTTAGCTTTTCTTGTTGAGAATTGATCAATGTCTAGACTCACAGCCATGTACAGTACCTTGTTTGGATCAAATACTTGGGATGGGTTGGATCTGTACTCTTTCCATCTAAAGTCTGCTTTTCTGAAGGGACAGTTTGCTCCTCTGTGAAGGACCTATGACTGTAAGTGGGTCTTCAGCCTGCTGATATGACTATTATCAAATTTTAATATTGTCATTACAAATAGATAGATCTTTTTATTTAACCAGTTGACATCCGCGGTGTTAAACCCCCTTCCCATCCAGGCCATTTTTCAGTATTCAGCGCTGCGGTACTTTAACTGACATTTATTCCGTCATGCAGCGCTGTACTGAAATGAATTTTATACCCTTTTTTGGGGACAGATAGAGCTTTCTTTTGGTGGTATTTAT